GCAGGTAGGTCGGTCAGGGGCTTGGTCATCTGCTTGCTTGGCTGACAGTTACTTGGGAGATCTACTGCGTACTATTTGCGGAATACGCAGTACTTTATTCTGGCCCTCGTATATAGAATCGCAAGGCTGAAAGAAACGAGCAGGGAACTGGTGATCATCAATCTACTCGAAGCAACCGAGTCATTATGTACTTTGATTAGGGATAGAGTACTTATGCGCGAACAATTGTTTGAGACTTATTATTATTCCCTGATCGAAATATATAACTGTCTCATTAACTTGATCGATGAGATCTTATCAGCGAATTCTGTGTTATGAGATAATAGTGAGTGTCGCTAAATGCTCCTTGGTTGTGGACGATGGTCCTGTCGATTATTAGGTTACTAAATATATTTCCGCGGGATGGTAGCATCCGCCCTTTGTTGTTGACTAGGGGGTAATCGCTGAGCTTCTACTGGACCTAATCCATGTTCTAGCTGAACATCACTGTCTTACTTCTGGTGCCCAAATACAAAGCGTTCGAGCTGCACCATTGTCGTTTGTGGCCTTTGAAGATCATTTGGAATGTTTGAGTGTCAAACTGGCCTGTCATCCCCTAGACGGTTACTAGCGATATAGCCAAGGATAGACTATAAGAGTTACCATGTCAGCGGTGCCTGAAAAGCCCGGGCTACCCGAAGTACGGACACGGACCACGATTACTATTACTCTACCATGACTACACTGTTAGTGGCCTAGTACTTTGTTTCTAAGTACTGTTTTCTGAAATAATTACTAAGTTAGATAGTGTGAGCATCATGACAAATCGTCCCAATTAGGAAGCCGTATTTGGACTTGGCTAAGGATCGGACTTTATTGCTCCTCGGGGTTTACTTTACCTTCCTTCTGGATTCCAGGTTAGGTTGGATGGAAGCTAACTCAGTGACAGGCAGTGACGTTGAGGATTTTGCACTCGACCATGGTTGGTGCTAAAATCAAGGTCATTGTCTCTTAGATCGTCGCGAATAGATGGCTGATGAAATCGCATTGGCTGTGGTGAGGTCAGTGGCAGGTAACCTGACACAGCAGACGAACGTCAACGTTGCTGCCATCTGACATCAAAGTCCGAGACTTGATCTTCCTGCTATTGCTTTTTCCGTTGTCTTTGCTACTAGTACCGAGTATGGAGCACTCTCTTCAACTGTCGAGTAATTATGACCAATTGACTGGGCTCTATTGAACTACTGCATAATTTGATGGAGATGGAGGATGCCACCCCCGGTCAAAGAGAAGAAAATGTGTCACTGTTAGAATCCAGCGTTCAAACTGCTCTCCGCCTTTGATTTGTCGACTCGAATCTCAAATTGATTCTAGGGTTCTCTTTTCTTTGTTCGCATTAGTCAGTAGTTTGTGGTAGGCGCATAACTGGCGTAAATAGAATTACCCCTTTTCATGATTCAGATCTCACAAGCCATTGTACTCTCCGTAGGGGCCGTAGCTCGAAACAGTAGGAATCCTTCATCCGAGCCTACATTAATGGCATTTCGAACCCTTCACGGTAGACAGAATACTGTACAAAGTCAAAACTCTAAGGGCTAAAAGCCTACGTCCGATTTGGATTCTGGATTTTCCCTTTCCCAGGATGTCGGGTTATGCACAAGCCTCTTCACGGCCATCTGCTCTCCTGGAGAAATCGCCCAAGAAGCTTCCCAAGCTCTGTGATTGGCTCCTAGCCCCTCGACTAGCGTTCGGGGCACAAGTCGATAAGATCCGCCCATGATCAGGGCGCCCCTTCCCCTTGGTCAATCGTAATCTCGCGCCAAATCCAAATCCACCATAGTCTGGAGTCATAATCTGTTCCTTAGTTTAGGTACTTTGATCCTTTCCCGACTCGCAATTGTGTCCCCTTTTGGGGTATAATGGAATCTACCTATAGGATAAACTCCGCCGAATTCTCAGAATTCTTTTTTACCCTTGTCGGTAACACAGCAACCCTGTCCAAGATGATACCATTATGCTTGATGTGTGTGCAGAAGTACGATGGGAGGACCGGGAATGTCAATCATGGAACCAGCTAGAAGCTTGAACTCGAGTTCACATCCTGGATGAGTGATGCACATGGTGGCGAGGAGGATCTCGCTGCCGCGTACGGAGTATTTACCAAGACTGTGCGTGCATCATCCCATAGTCTACAATGTGAGAGACGCAAGATGTGGCTAGTGATCAACTGAACTGTGGCGGTGACTCGGAGTCTCCGAGCTCTTCGAGGCTGAGAGCAACGGATTCTGCGTATCAAGTACCCTCAGGTGCAAGTCGACTTAGCCACACAGTACTGTACGAGGTACTCGATCGTCGCTGGTACGCTGTAATTGTACGTATGCTCGTAGAGGGGCAGTACATGGTGTACGGTAGACACATGGATAGGCTAGATACGGAGCTTTGGATGCTAATACTTACTACTTGGGGCTAGATTGCAAAGCACCTGGTCCAAGCGTGAGCGATGTGGGACGGGGACGAAAGGAAAACCGCCCTGAAGTTTGATTCTGAAGTAAAATGGTAACGCTTGTGGCCTGTGCACGGTGACTTCTTTCTTCAGGGAAAAGGTCTGTTTACAAATCCCGGCTGCGGTTTTGGTAGGTAGATACATTTCTGGTTGATCTATGGAGTCATGTCGTACAATATGCAAATCAACCGGGGAAACTGATGGAGAATACTGGGAGGATTGGCTGGGGTTTCTGTCAGTTTGAGGTACTCCACGTACTGTAATCTAAGGTAGAGGGGACTGGACGGACGACAATGGATAGGTATGCTAAGAATTGTGCGCTGAAGAAGACTAGACATAAGTACTGAACAAGTGACTAGGCGGGACCGGGATTCGATATCCATAGCATGGCGCTCAGTACCGGAAAATGTCAACCAATTTGATCCACAGGCAATATCCATGAAAGCACGACAAAGCACAGATGGTATGAGTTACCACTGCATGGAGAGCAGCAATCCCCGGTGTTTGGAAAAAAACAATCGATTTCTGCTGGGAAGCAACTGGGTGCCAAAGACCGTCTCTAATGACGAGGGGGCCACTGCTACAGTAATGGCGTCCCAGGAACTCTCATCCCCGGGCCCAAGTGGCTGTTAGAGTCCTGACTAACCACAAACTAGTCGATCTGTTAATAGAGCAACTCCCCATTCTGCTATTTTGGCTCTGGTGCTCTTGACATTTTCGTAAAAATATCCACTGAGTACTCATACGGACGACTAATTATGCTGACAGACTGACCAATAAGGGCCTTTTTTTGTGAGTTGATTCCTCACAGTCTGTAGTAATCATCTGTTGTAGATGTTGTGCATTTGATGGCCATCTGGGCAAGCACTCTAGATATCGAATCTGAACCTAGGTGTCTAATCTAGAAACCAGCGTTCCAGTCCTCTGGCAGTGGAGCAAGCATCGGTAAGCCACGGTGCTTTTGACTGGCATCCTCCGAACAAAGCCTACCAAATAGTAGAGCATGAGGCTTGGGGAGTGGTTGAAACGATCTACAACTATGGGTAAATATGAGGAAAGTGTCCATGCGAATAATGGCTGCAGAAAAGAAAAAGGAATAATTTCGATAAATATGTAGGAAATAAAACCATTTAACAACTATAGTAATTTACAAAAAGAAATAAATAAAAGAAGTACGATTACCGCCCTACTGCTGCATGTTCTTGCCTGAGAGATGCAGCCCGCAGCTCTGGACCGGTGCTTTTTAGCAGCCGTAGAGACTAGAGACTATCTTGCGTTTCGAGTTTGATGCGCTTCAAGGATCATCCATGTTGGCGGGTCATTCCACTAAATCGGAGTCTCAGATGGCCAAATCGGGACGGCCCTTCGATTCGATGGCAGCTTGACTTGAGAGAGGGGCCCAACAAAACAAAATAATATATTAATATAAAAAAAAGGTAGGGAAATAATAAATAAAAAAGAAAAAAAAAAAGTCCCAGAGGCGCTTCTAGTTCTATGTTCGATCGCTATTCTCAATATCCCAGAGGTACAGGCATTCCGATCTCTCATCGCCGACACTGAAAAACTGCCATTTCCCCCGTCTTAAAGCTCCAATCCTTCTTCTTCTCATCTACTTCTTCTCACCTTCAGGACCTCGAGTGTTCCCTTGAGCTATTGGGTAACTTCTCATCTGTCAATCACTGATTGTCCCTTCTCATGACTTGACTTTGTGTCACCATCCTCGTTTACCGTACATATCCCCGGAGCAGAAAACAAAGAAAAGGACCAAGTAGTTCTTGATCTAATTCCAACTCTGTTGCAACTTGTCACACCTGCCCATCTGTGTGCCGAAATCGGTTGCCAGCATCCATCTTGCAGCATCTCCCACCTTACCGGGCCGATCTTGATTGTTTGCTCTCGAATCCCGTTGGGTGTTTGATCTCCGTTCTCATCTGGGTGCATCCTGTGAGTAGCATGTCGTCACTTGTCACGCATACTACCCTCTCTCAACTCTGTTTGATGGGCGTCGATCTGCCTCGAAATTGCTCGTCTGCCTTCAGAAGCAAACTACAGCAGATGGCGGGGTCATGGACTCGAACCGCCGTATTGGCTTTCGCCTCCATCTTGACGTTCTTATCTCAATTTTGAGCCTTTCTCATTGCTGTATCTTGTTTCCCCTTGAGGCTTCTGGCATGCTGCACCTTTCCAAGTGTCAAACCAAAGCTAATCAGCGGCCTTTGCCTGCCGTGGCTTCACCAGACCTGGATCTCTGCAGCCTCATCACCATCTCGGACCACCTGGTTCTGATCCCGCTGGAAGATAGAACAAAGACCTCGGAGACAATATATATTGCTGCCATCGCAGCTGTAAACACGCTCCGAACTCGACGGCATCTTCATGTGTTGAGCACTATCTACCTCTCAGAGCAATTCAGTAACCGTACTGCCTGAGAAACGTCCAACTCGAGATTGTCCAAACGATACACCGGCTCAACGAAACCTGCCGTACCTTTGTCAACGTCAACCTCTCAAATTACATAATGGTGTTCAGCGCACCTGCTCCTGGGGTGGGCTCCAGTAAAAGGCCAGCGTCATGCATGCAGGACGATGTCAACAGCTGGGATAATGCTCCAGTAAGTAATACCAGCATTGAAAAGACATATATGGAGCTGACTCATCTCCTACATAGCCCATGGGTCTATCTGTGCGTTCATCGATCAACATCCCTTACGCCCACTACGCCATGATCTATCTCGACAACATGGGCAGACTCAAGGTGACGGAGTCTCCGTCTATCCAGGAGCAAAATGGGACTGTTTTCACACCCGAAGTCCGTGAAAGATTTTTGGAAATCCTTGGTGCCAAGATCGGGTATCAGCGCCCCATGGTTCGAAGTATGTAAACCCTCCGCACACAAGTACGTTATTCTTGCTGATCTCATTTGAACAGGGCTGTCAGGTGCCGGTGCCACACCATATAGCTATGATCCTCAACAACCGCTTGGTCACTTGCCCTACCGTCAGAACAAGCGGCGCAGAAATTCCCCAGCCCACTCTATGTACGGTGTGCCGCCATCCGTCCAGTTCTCAGGCCCCGTTGAGGAAACGCCCGCTTGTGGATCAGTGGACATGGTCGGACTCGAAATTGGTGATACTCCCAAAGTCCTCGACTACTATGAGAGATCCTTGAAGCACTTCCAGCAGCTCAACTGTCGCCAGATTGCAAAGGCATTCATTAAGTTCATCGAGCCAAGAAAGCAAGTCAAGCACCCCTATAATGGAGGTAAACCCCCCGCAGGAGCTCCTCCTGGTAAGAAGGGCGACCCAGAGAAGACAAAGCCCGAATGGTGGCCCGCCGATGTGGTTCACAAGGAGCCTGACCATCTTCGAAAGGATCGTATGTGGACCCCTCCAGAAAATCTCCTGTGTCAAGTAACTTTGCTGACAGATTTAGAACGCCTGTCTCTGTTAATTCATATCATCCGCAAGCTTGGAAGATTTGGTATTACCACAGATCAATTGCAGGAAATTGCCCACGACTGCAAGCGGCAGCTCAGAGGTCCCCACAGACTCCAAATCTTGGACGAGGTCTTCAGAGTGAGAAGGATGGAAGAACGCTATGAAAGAGGAGAAGTTGGTAAGCAGCATCTTCTTTCCTTGAGAATTCATCTTGCCAGCTGTTGACGAGCCTCAGATGCCAACACAATCGTATATGTTGTCAACCGAGAGTCGAACCCGAAAGAGAAGGATGCCGAGTCCAATGTGGATCCGGACCAGAAGCATGAGCAAGAAGACGATAATGCGGATGAGGCACTCCCCATTCACCACTCTGAGGTGAACTCAACCAACCTGATGTCGAGCTCAGTCGAACACATGGGCATGGCGGCGCCAAGTCGCCCAATGAATATGGGAGATGACAGAAACCAGCTGTTCCCTTTACCGGAGTCGTTGAGCTTCGGTGAGGCACCCCGGGATGATCGGACCTTCTTTCCCACGGCCTCTGAGTATACCGAAGATTATGCATCGCAGCAGATGCTCAGAACCCCTGCAACAACAGCACTTGTCAGCCCCAATGAGACACCTGCCGCTTTCGATTATATAACACAGGCGCCCATCACCTCCTCCGCCCCCGATCAGATTTCCCACCACCGCCAAGCACCCCTGCCCATGCAGCACTCGGCCAGCTTCGACCATTGGACGCCTTCGTTCCGACACAATCTCTTCAACCTAATGGAGTATGGCACTTCACCCAGTCACGCCATGTCTCAGACTACTATGTCATATCAGCTTCCCATGACCCCGACGTCTCATCCCCAGGAAATGCCTCACATGGCTCACGGCCTGCCGAACCTGCCTCAAGACAGACCTTCAAGCATGGATGGCATGAGCATGAGAGGCCCTTCTTTCCGCACAGGATCTTTGAGCCATCCTCGTGATCCATCACAGCACGACCCTCATTCTAGCTGATGTGGCCATTGTGACAGTTGGACTCAAAATAGACCACATGCATGATTTTAAATGATGGATCCTCGCCCACTGCTTTGACCCTCCTGCAGCCTTGGAGTTTCGGTTCATTGATGATTGTTTTCCCGACTTCCCTTCTGCTCTTCCTCAGCCCCTGACCTGTTGTCAATGCCGACTTAGGCATGCGGCTTGTTCCACGTCAAGTGACTGCCATGACCTCCCTGGGTTTATATGGTAGGTACCTGTCAATGACTTCAAAATTTTTCTTCGTTTAGTATATATACTCGTTGCTTGTTCTATGTTTGAATATGTCTTTTTCCTTATACATACGTTCAGAAACTCCGTTTGGAGATGGCTCCAGATGGCGTGAGATGCAGATATGGGTGATGTTCTTGTGTTTGTTCATTTCACTTTTTTTTCTTAATCATGATCTAGACAATTGGCAGCGAGGCGCTTGTGGCGAAGCTCGTTCTCTTGAATGCCGATCGGCTGAATGAGAGGTAACGAGGCATGAGGGTGTTTCATTATAACAGCGATTGCTTTCTGGATTAGTTTTGTTGCTCAAAATATGATAATCACTATAATTGACTTTCGCCCTCTAAAGTGTAGTAGTGTATAGGGCAGTTTGAAGGGCGGATGTAAACGCGCGGCAAGTGGCGCTAGCCATATTCAGTGGGCGCCTTCCCGCGGCTTTGAGCCTCCAGAGAGCTGCATAAGCGACGGCAACAAAGAACCCATATCGCCTCATCCCACCGGTTTACGGCGCCGAACAAATAACAATGAACTAAGGATTCAACAGACGGTATAACACTGTGCGACAATTTCGGTAACTGTCCATCCAGCGGGTTCGCGCCGCGATTCGATGGCCGTTGGCACGGAGGTCACATCTCCTCACGCCGCAAAGTCGAAGCGTTCGGCCACCGGCGACCTCTGCGACGAGCCCAGCTTTCAACAACGGCTTCTCAGCAGCCTCATCTTCTTCCCTTGAACGCGTCGAGGCCGTAGAATTGAGATACAAAGGTATTGCGTCATGGCTTTTCCCGGTTTGGAGTTTGATATGCGTGAGCACTTTGAGTTCTGGCATTATCTTCCTTCCCCGTTGTGTTGCTTCGCAGTTGACAGTCTTTCTCCAGTAGCTTCTCAAACTAACTGCGTTGTTACGCCCTCCGACCTATTATTGGAGGTCGGCTTTTTTAGGATACTTGATTCACCAGCTGCCTTTCCTTCGTCAATCAACCCCCATCTTCGAAGAGGACGATAAACGAACAGACTACACCTCGGCTTCCCTGGTGAAAAGGCTCTGAGATTGTCATCCTTTTCACCATACTTTACCCGAGATGGCAGGCCCAGCGAACCCATTCGCTGGCCTCGCCCAGAAAGATGGAACAACGGCTCCGGCGGGTCGAGGGCGCGGTGGATCATTCAGTCGGGCTACTCCCTACCAGTCCAAATCATCCAACGCGCGTGGCCGAGGACGAGGAGCCTCGTCGGCAATGAGATCTCTCCGTGGTCACATCCGAGGCGCTGGTCCTCCGACTAACACCTGGCGCAAACCGGACCCAAGCGCTGCTCCCACAGGAGCTGCCGCATCGCCTTTCTCCCAGTTGAAGCAGAACCAACCCTCTTCTTCACCATCTGGTGGACAGCATCCGCAGCAGAAACCAGCATTTCCTGGTGTCGCGAATGACTCCTCTGGTGTATTTGGGGCACCGTCTGGATTTTCTGGGAGCATGGTCGATTCTAACAGAGACCCTCGACTACAATTTCCGTCAAATGGAACAAATGGCGTGGAGGGCTCTGCTGTGCCAGTGGAGGACATGGCAGTTCTGAACAGTTACAATGACCGATACGAAAAAGTAAGACATTCTGCCGCACTAGATTTCCATCAGTGGCCAGGATTCTGGACTGACAGCTCGCAGCTCAAGCTTGATAGGGCGAAACAAAGGGAACAGGCGATCAGGAAAGGGCAGATGGCGGACCCCAATCAACCTACTTCCCTGAATCAAGCAATTACACCCGTCGGTACCTGCACCAGCATGTGTCCCGAGTTTGAGCGGGTTGAGCGCATCGTCCAGAAGATGGTAGACAAAAGCGAAAAGGTATAGGACAGACGATGTCGTATGGTGCTTTTCCAAGAACTGACTGTCCATAGTTTCTTCATCCTGCGACAAACACATTGCAGAATATGGAAACGAAAATGCTCAAACGCTTCAGAAGATCAGCTGCCGGCTACGATGAACAGCTTCCTTCTGATATTCGAACACCGAAGGCACTCCTTCAGTCAACCAACTATCTGATTCGACATATCCTTGGTGGTTCTGAGCCTCTTGGTCTGATTCACAAGTTTGTCTGGGATCGGACACGATCGATCCGTAACGATTTCTCCGTCCAGCAGCTCACCCAGGAGGAGGACGTGAAGATAGCAGTCACATGCCTGGAGAGAATTGCCCGGTTCCACATTGTCTCTCTTCACCTGCTCTCTAGTCCTGCGAACGAAGAGCCTTTTGACCGCCACCAGGAACGAGAACAACTCAACAATACGATGTTGTCGCTGATGTACTATTACGACGACAATCGAGGCCGCATCACGTTTCCCAATGAGGACGAGTTCCGGGCCTATTACATTATCTTCTCCATTCACGACCAGCGACCAGATTTAGAAGCTCGTGTGCAAAAATGGCCTGCAGAGCTACGCAGTTCGCCTCGGGTTCAAGTAGCCCTTGAGTTGTTCGCCGCTGCTGGCAACACATGGGAGTATCAAGGTACCCTAGATGCCAAACGCCCCAACGCCATTGCACAGGGCTTCTACACGCGCTTTTTCAACTTGGTTGATTCTCCGGCTGTCTCGTATCTGATGGCCTGTGTTGCTGAAACCTATTTCAACCACATGCGCCAAACAGCTATGCGTTCAATATGGAAAGGATATTGTCGTTATCCCGCTTCTCAACAACACAAGAATGAGGAGTGGACGGTCGACGAACTGACCAAAGTCTTACACTTTGACGATGACAGCCAAACGATTGGATTCTGTGAAGAGCAAGATCTACAGTTTGCTGAGAATGTTCATGGTAATCTTTATCTCAACTGGGGCAACCGTCCGGTTGACTCGATTGGTACGTGTGATCTCGACAACACTCTCGCCTTCTTTCCTTCGTTCACTCGCTCTGTTTTCATTCCACCGGATTACGGCAATTATACTATAGGCTTCTCAATGTCGGCCATATCTGACTTCGACTGACACATTGAATCCGTAGCCTTCCAGCCGTCTTCCGAACACTCATTCTCAGAAAAGTATGTCGAGTCGAAGCGAGCAGGCAGAAGCATGGTTGCGATCATACTCGGCTTGAATATAAAAGAAGCGGCAACTCTAGGAATGATTGACAGCTCTTTTCTACCGCAGCGCTCACTGGCACTACCCGCCCCCGAGCCAGAAGCACCCACAGACGATGATGCCCTCTTTGTGAGTGACGATGACAATGAAATGCGACCACCAGCCATCCAAACGAACGGTAATGTTTCGCAGGGTGGTGTCTTTACTGAGTCTCCCGCCTCAGCTTCAAGCCTGCGCAACGCATTCACAGAACTTTCACAGAGTACAACAAATGCAGAAGCGGCACCTACGCAAAGCAATTCGAGTTCTTCGATTGCACAGGCCACCAATATAACACGAACCTCCGAGCCGGCAAAGACCTTTTCTTCCTTGTTCTCCGGCACTAGTTCGGCCGGTGCCACAACGGCGCCCACAGTTGCGCCTTCTAACCCATTTGCCAGCATATCTTCGCCCTTTGCGCCATTTAAGACGCCGGTGACTGAGCAGAAGACTCCAACCTTGCCTGCTGCGTCCAGTAGTCAGCAACCAACGTCGATCTTTTTGACAGGAGCATACAACTTTATGTCAACAAAGCCTGACACAACCCCTGCATCGGCTACTTCTCAGTTTAAAGCACCAAACGTCTTCCAACCCTCTACAACACCTACAGCTTCACCATTCGGCCTGTCCCAGACTCCGTCAATATCCAGACCTGATCTGGCTCCTGGCTCGACTGCTGCCCAGCCGTCGACAAGCATTTTCGATACTGGCAAGCCATCTCCTGCTCCGCAGATTTCCAGCTCTATCTTCAGTCTCGCTAGTCAGAATGCTCTCCCCGGAAAAGCAGAAGCCGAAAAGCCTCAACAAAGTCTCTTCAAGCCTGCGGAAACAATCTCTGCACCATCTCCATTTGCGCAAGCAAGTAATCTGTTCGCTCCAGCGAAAGACGGTATGTTCTTCTACCCTACGGCATCGCCCTTGGTATAGGAACATTGTCAATTCTAACGATCCCAACAGATTCACCGGAAGCTGCCCATCCTGTTCAATCAACCAATGTTTCCTCATTGGCGAAGCCTGTGGAGTTAAAGGCACCCGAACAGAAACCGGCCGATGCGACTGAGGGCTTGAAGACTCCACCGGAAGAGGCAGTTCTGGAACCGAATACACCAGCAGACGAGCCTGTGGCGCCTTGTGTGGAAGATGTCGCTGAGGAACAGCAGCCTCGGCTAGTATTCCCGAAGGCTAGCTCACCTGAACCCGTTAGCGCCACATCGCCCCCTCCTGCAGAACCTAGCACAGTGGGTGCTGTTCAAGAAGATGATTCCGCTCGCATCTATCCTGAGCCGACCGCAAAGGAAGATGGAAACTCAGGTGAGTTGCACTTTTGGCCACAGCCATTGACGTTCTTTTCACCTGTCGGGTCTATCTGACAGGCATATAGCTTTAGAAGATGAACGACGCCTTGCATGGCGAGATGCCCTGAAGGAAGCGGCCAATAAAAGGCGACAAACCCTCTCGACAAGTCGCAAACGCATTCTGCCCGAAGAAGATGAACAAGAACTGAAATGGAGCGAGCCAAAGGCACCCAAAATAACGAAACCCGAGGCTCCTACTCCACGCAAAGTGTCTATGGCACTGTCTTCAATTAAACCTCTTCCCAAACTTCCCATATTGGAACAGATTGAGGCCATGACAGCTCGAAAGCCTGCAAAGGAGGAGAAGCCTGAAGTTCCAAAGCCTCGCCAAGTCGACGAAGATGAACTCCTCCTTTCCGCTGCCCGAATTGCCGCAGAATCACTCAGGAGCGGGCCGAGACTTCTCGACCATTGGTCGACACACCCTGAGCCTCGAAGCTCCGTTTTCAGTCCGCGTAGCAGCTTTTCATCTTCGCACTCTTTCTCCCGAAGTCAGTCACCGAATTCATACCAAGTCAATGGATACGATGTTGCTCTTGCCCCTGATAGAGACTTGGGACTAGGACGTACGCTGTCCCGAACGGAACAGAGGATTCGCCTTACCGGGGGCAAGGGCCTAGCATATAAGCCGCTAAACTTCACCCCGGAGAAGAAAAGTAAAGGAACAGGCAAGAAATAGGTGTTGTCATTGAGCCTCACCATCTGTTTCCTAATCTCAAAGGCTCACGTTCGCCCTTGCAGCATTGAAGTGAAAACGCCTGCTAAACAGCCCATGGCGATCTTCTGTTTTGCTGTATACATTTTGTCAGCTACCATCTCGATTGCATTATGCGACGGCGTTCTCTGCGGATTTTGGTCTTTTGATAAGGGATGTATCTGCTACATTAGGAGTTTAGCAACCGGGCGCTGGAAGTGTGCGTCGTACATAACTGCATTATAAGAATACCCTACATTTTCACAGCAAAATCTGTGTTCACGCACCGAGCAACATAGACCTGAGAGTTGACTAGATAGAGACGATCACTAGGGGATTGTGCTGGTGCCTCAGGTATCTTTGTCACATGATTTAATATTCGGTTTCCAATGGGCGCACGTATTGTCCTCTCACATCTTGTAACTGAGAACTTCCAAAATAAAACGAATCATATCTAAGCTATCTTGCTGACTTGACTGCTCAGAAATGGACAGTTAAGTCAATAATTCTGCACAATTCTCTCAGCCAAGGTCCATAGAATTCTTCATGTTGGACTACAACGGCATTTCGCCTCTTCCTCTCTAACCAGGCATCTTACTACCACCTCGGCTCTGACAAGAGCCAGGAAGGCAATCCGTCTCTCGTGCTTAGTGCAGGTATCTAGACTCCAACACAGAGGAATGCGAATCGCCACATTACAATTTGCCCCTAGAGTGGGCGACGTCGACGGCAACATCAAAAGGGCCAACGAATTGCTGAACAGCGGCTGTGCAACTGGGATCAAGAGCCTGAAGCCTGACCTCCTGGTATTGCCGGAACTGGCTCTGACGGGTGAGTACCAGTACCTAGGAACAGGATGCAGCGGGGTCTATATTTGTGATGTGGTGTCCCTATCCGATCGGTAAATAGTGACATGTTCTTGTTGGCTAGGGTACAATTTCCCCTCGCTGGAAGCCATACGGCCCTTCCTTGAGCCCGCGGGGAAGGGCGTCTCAGCTGCGTGGGCACGCGAGACGGCAGCGCGTCTCAGGTGTAAGGTGTGCGTGGGGTATCCCGAGATTGAAGTAGCAGCAGACGGGGAGAGTAGCGCGCAACCGCAGGAGAAGTACTATAATTCCCTGGTTGTTGTGAGTGAAGAGGGGGAGGTGGTGGTGAATTACCGCAAGACGTTCCTGTACTTCACGGACGAGACGTGGGCGTCTGAAGGCACGGCGGAGCAAGGGTTCCACCAGCTTGTCTTTAACAATGGTTCCGCTGAGCGAGGAGATGTGCTAACGTCTAGGGTGGCTACGTCGTTTGGGATATGTATGGATATCAACCCGTATAAATTTGAGGCGCCCTTCACGGCTTGGGAGTTTGCGAATCGGGTCCTCGACTCCAAGTCCCAGCTGGTTATTCTGTCGATGGCCTGGACGACGTTTATGAGCCGGGAGGAGTTGGATGCGCTGGCTGATAAGCCGGATTTGGATACTTTTGATTACTGGATACAGAGATTTTGGCCTCTAGTCAGGCAGAAGATGCGACACGATGTTGATTTGGGATCTGACGGCCATGAGGCCGGAGACCCAAAGGAAAAGAGTATTGTCATCGTCTTCGGGAATAGGTGTGGAGAGGAGGGATCGGTGCGCTATGCGGGGACGAGCGCGATTATCGCTATTACGCAGCGCCCGGGGGTGGTGCAGGATGGCGACGCTGGGGAGGAGTTACCGTTCGATGTGAAGATCCTTTGCTGGGATATGCTGGGTGCGACGACAGAGGGTATCTGCTTTGCTGATACTACAGCCGATCCGAAGATTGTGTTTGGATTGGTTAAGAGGTCGCAGGCGTGAGCGTTGCAGCTTCTTTTGCCGCGCTAAAGTATACAATCTGGCGTATTTGACGGTGTACATGATGAGACAACTACTGTTGAGCATTGGCGAGGAAGAGTTTTCGACTGGTCATATGCTTTTGACTCTTGACTGCTCTTTTTGTTGGAATACTTGACACGGTACCAGAACTGCCCAAATCTACGCAACAATCTCTGGATATCTGATTCTCTGTTTTGTGAAGCTGCCCGAAGTCGATAGGGTTAACCTTGCTGCAATGGCAGCAATCATGTGAACGGTTGATAATCATTCTCCTCCTTAGATCCATGTGACATTGGAAGGCACCATTCCTAGACCACGACTGCCTTCGCAGATCCATCTAGACAATTATGCGCGAGAGATTCATCTATGCCAGCCCCTTGAGGGAACAGACTAGTGCTACCTACCCATGCGAGACTGGCGTCCATACCCTACTTGGACGGATCCGGATGGCGGCGATGACGGCCTATCTCATGACCGATTGATCCGCAATCTATCAGACGGTCTGTCATCAAGCCAAACAAGGCCTATTAAAATCAATGCAACCTTCAGAGGGAAGCTAGAGCAAAATGATCTTCGAAAGTAAGCTTGAAGACTTTTTGATCGACACTGCGGAAAGCACCATCCGCTTCAAGTGGGAAAGTTTGGTTGTAATCCGGATGTGCATGTGACACGAAAGGTCAGATGGAGTCGTATTTGAGGCAAACCGAAACTGGCTAGGTATTTGCAGATGGCATAACTGAACTAGCATGAGCCACAAATATCAGGCGTGAAGCAAGTTCAGATTGTGTGTGTATCTGAGGATTTGCAACTACGCAGCGTCGGTCGAGACTCGAGAGACAGAGACCGTCAGAGATATGGCAAGGCATGGCATGCATCGGCGTACATCCCGCCACTGTGCGATGGCGTTCTCCAGATGGACCGTGCTCCCTACCAGGACCCTAAAGGAGGGTCGGCCCGACCGGGATGAGCACTGAAGGAGTGAAGGTACTAAAAGTATGAATGGGGTATCTGTCCTCAGACCAATAGTGACTGTTGAAAGCGGCCGCGAGTCAGTGCATTCAATCCCTGGTAGATGAGACATGGTATCCACCATGTGCCCATCATATTCCTCAAATAACCAGGAAACTTCCGCCCAATTGTTTGACTTTCATCATGTTGATTTGGCGAGAAATAACCAAAAGACTTAAATGAGTCACACGTGACCCCGGGTCAACCCCTCCTCCGGCAACCGCCCAGAGTAATCCGCGCAACCAATCAGCGATGAGAAGACCAACATTGGCAGAGGAGGGGGCACGGGATTGGAGCACATGACATCCAAGAGCGAAGAGGGAGGGTAGTAAAAAAGACAAGCTAATGGGAGAGATATTGAATTCCAGACAGGAGTTGACTTCCTTTGCTGTTAATGAAGGGGAAGTTCCGGTGGAGACAACGAAAGACTATTCTGTTGGCTTTTGGACCACCGAAGTCAGGTGACTCTTCTACGCTTCAGGTCGTTACGCCTTCCCGGACCACCGCCGCCTCGACTGTTCTGCTCCCATTATTGTCCCTCGCCACGTGAGCGCTTCTCTCTACTACTCGACTCTACTCCTCCAATATCCCTTCTTTCTATTGTAAAAGCCGCCACTTCTTTCTGTTCGTTTACTATTCCGGTCCGTCCGTTGTCTTTACATTGGACATTTTCATATTGAGTCTTTCCTCGCGATCAAATTCGATTATTGGTCTTCGCGATCGAACTACGATATACCTGCCTCTTGTTGTTGCCCGTGGCAGGTGACTTGCTGTCAGGTGATAGACAGACCATCCCAAGGTACAGTGAGCTCACTCATTCTATACGCGACTATCTATCATTGCATCGTCCCTCTGCCATACTCCACTAGTTCAGAAGCTTCAATAAGGCCCCAGAAGCATCTCACCATGCCCCTCTCTGGACCTCAGCCTCGTCCGCCGGGATCCGGATGAGGCCGATTTTGTGATGCTATCCTGTCTTCCCCTGTTACCTCGGTCGCAGAGCCGTCATGACGCGTTTCTGATGTCGATGTCGACTATGCGACCATGAGGGTTTGATTTCTGATTGATGGTTTGCGCATCAACTGTTTTTCGGCGCATATTGATTCCATCAATATAATTTATTACATGTTCCTCGATTTGATAGTCATCCAATGTCTGTTTTGATGCTATGGTGCGGAGACCGGCGCGTCCAGCCTCACGCGTCTTAGTATATTCACTTCTCACTTCTCAGCGCATCAATGTCTTTCCTTTTGGTGGATGTTTACTCGCGAGAGGATTTTCTCTCTTTTCTTTCCCATAGCCTGCATTATTGTTTTCCTGACTATTACACTCATCACTTTACTGGGCTTGCCGACTCACAAAACTAAACCGCAGGGAAGTTCCTTATGCTACACCTCCTTTTGGTAACTGTCTGAGGAAATCTATCTCGAATCAATACATCTGCTCTGTCTAAAGGGTCGGTTTGATCGGTTTGATCACCTGATACGCACTATCATGGCCGGTGCTGACTCCGCCAACCTGCAGGGTGAGAACACCACATCCTACATCATGTCTGACCAATCGTTGGGTGCCTCGGATAGCAATATCACAAACAAGCGCAAGCGCGAAGGTGATGACAGCGCGGGCCCGGACCCTCAGCGCCTGAACCGCTCTTCCAATGGAAGTAGTGGCAGCATGCCTGGCGCGGATGCTCAGAACAATTTCGCACACAGCTCTCTTACTTCCTATGATGCGCACGGTCTGCCTACCTCTACTTCGGAGCTCAACATTGACCAGCAAATCCTCCAACATGTCGGACCACAGAACGGTATCTCTGATGAGAACGCTCTGACTGCCAAAGCCGCTTTGGCCGCGCACAATCCTCAAAACAAGTATCCGCCTCCCCCCGAACCTTCTTTCGACGCCAATAATCTCGCCCATGGGTTGACGTTCGGCGATGATATGGGTCAGGCTATGGGCCCTACTCATGGACACAATTCGACCGCCGCAGCTGTCTACGCTGCGCGCGAGGCCCAGAGTATGAATCAAAAACCGTCCGTTGGTTCTCCTGAGTGGCACCAAATTCGCAAGAACAATCACAAAGAGGGTAAGCTGCGGCTGCTGTTTTATGGGGTGATTTAAGCTAAATTTGATTCAGTGGAACGTCGGCGTCGTGAAGCTATCAACGAGGGTATTAATCAGTTAGCGCGTCTGGTCCCCAACTGTGACAAGAACAAAGGCGCTATTTTACAGCGTACAATCGAGTACATCTGCCAGCTGCATGATGAGAAGAAAACGATGAGTGAGAGATGGGAGCAAAATAACATGACTACAAGTCATGCTATCAACGAGATCAGCGCTCAGAATTCCAAGTTGAAATTAGAAGTCAACCGCCGTGGAGATATCGCACAGAAGTGGCTTCAGCGCTGTCGCGACGCAGGTCTCGAGTTCGACGACTACAACGATGCCGAAGAGCTCGAGCCACTTGAGGTCGACCAGGGTCAGGTCTGAGGTTGAAATGCGCTTCTGGATAGATGACTTTCCCTTTGCTTCTCTATCTCATGGTCATACATGTGCTACGATCTGTTCTTGTTCGGAGGCTGAGATTCCAACATACCCGTTCTTTCTCTCCGTTAGTTCGTTTTCAGTTTCATTCCATTCTAACAAGCCCTGCGAGAAGCCGTGATTTGGGCGTGGTTGCAGGTGCCGTCTTGATCTTTTTCTGATGTCTTGCATCAAGTCACCGCCTCTGGAAGAAGACAGGTGACCAATGATCTACAACCCTAATTTGTCCAGCCCGGAGTCGTTTTCCCGGCGCTTCGTGATTTCTCGTTTCCGTCGTCTGCCTTGTTCCACGTATCTTTTACTCTTGTGTTATTTTTTCTATCTTAAGGGTCGGCGAAACCATGGTTGGGAATGGAGCCTGCGACATCGCGTTATGGGAATTGCAATTCTATTTCTCAGATTTACACAGGGCCATTTCGTAGTTTGATCTTCTTTCCGAAAGCCAAATGACAAAACGCTGTTCATGGAAGATTCGGCCCCCTTGTTGGCAATGGCAAGCTTAGCACATGAGGCAATCTTAAGGCAGTCCTACAAAGCATAGCCATGATAATCAGTTGGCTTTACCGATGGGAATGAAAACATCAGAATATGTCTGAATTATCCGGAAATATACAAAGAAGAGAAAGTAAATGCGCGTATCGGATGCAGACAGGGTGCTATCTCAATACAAATCTGCTCTTCCGCGACAACTGAGGGCGACCAACCTACTCGCACCATCCTATGCCACTATCTACTCTGTACTCTACAGATTCGACTTAGCGGTAACAGTGGACCCAGAGCTGGTCCCGACATTCTTCACCGTCAGGGTAGCGCCGGACTGGCCGGTGATCCTCACGTCCACGGTATCCTTTCCGAACCCACTGCTCTGCTCGAAGAAGTTGTAGGAGGTTCTCGTAGTTCCCTGCCAGGTGTTGCCGCCGTCGGTGCTAACCTCGAGCTTCGCGACGGGCTCGTTGGCGTTCATGACTTGCATGGAGAACCAGTAGCGCGAGGTCCCCTCCTTGTTCTTGAGGACGAGGGGCGAGGTAATCCCGCAGTCGACGAAGGACCAGGTGATGGGAATGATACCCTTGGAGATATCTGCTAGCTCTGTGAAGGCGTTCTGGAAGAGGTCGAGGTGGTCGGCTTCGCATTCAGGGCATTGGTCGACGATCTAGCTGTCGTTAGCTGGGGGTTGTTATGATACGATTGCACGAAAAAGAGGAGACGTACCATGGCTTTGATGGTTTTGCCGTTGGGTCCCTTCACGGAGACGCAAGCACCGCATTCTGCGGCGTTGTTCCATGCGGCGCCTGAGTAGGCCGTTCCGAAGAGGCCGGAGGGAAGCGTGTACCCGGTGAACGAGCAGGTTCCGCCGGAGACATTGCCGCCATAGAACGTGGCTTTGCCGGAGTGGGTGGTGCCGCTGGAGGAAGATGCAGCAGCGGCCGCCTTGTTAATGGTCTCGGGAGTGGCCGTTGCAGGCTCAGCAGAGGCTGCCGGAACGGTGCTTTGTTCCTGGGTAGCGGGAGAAGAGGGTAGAGCAGATGTCGTTGACGACGAAGAAGAAGAAGAAGAAGAAGAGGAAGCATCGGGATCCTCATCAGTCTGGGGCTTCTTGACAGGGGTGTTCTCATCTACAGTGGGTATGGTGGGAGCAGCAGAAGGGCTATCGACCACGGGCCAGGCGGACTGGGATGGAGCCGCTGGGAGCCCCACTGGGGGATTCATGGACGGAGTTGCTTCATCGGTTGTTGGGACGTGGGAGACGGCCTTGTTGTACCCGGCACGACAGCGAGCTTTAGCGCCCCCGACCATAGGGCTCGCAGAGACCGACGCGGCCGCGACCAGAGCGGCGACGCCTAAAGTGGTGAGACGTTGATATAACATTGTTGGATGTTGATATGTCTCGAAGGCGAAAAAGAAGCTAGAATGGAAGAAAGAGTGTAGAGTCTGTGCTAGACTGCTATTCAGATGCAAAGGATTGACTGGAGACTCTGCTCCTGTTGCACGTAATGAATGGAAGCCCTGGGCTCAAATCCCAGAAATGAATGCAGTTGCTGTTCCAGACAGAAAACTAAAAGATTGACTTGAAGAGCAGTGCAAAAAAAAGAGAGCTAAGGGAGGACTCGGAGGATATATCAATTGAGAAGAAAAGGAGGGGCAGTAGAGTCCTCCTCCATGGGCTGAATGGCCGGTCATTGCCTGATATTGAAAGGGACTCGAAGGTGAAACAATAATTTAACGCAATATAATAAGATGAACAATTCTAGATGAATGCACATTAGCGCAAAACGTGCAATGAATCAGAAGCCCTAGGACGCCCAGGCGTTTGTCGGGCTAAAAGCCACGGCCTGCTAGCAAAATGAATCGTAAAGTCTGAAACGTCCGGCGTGGATAGCACGCAGCCGAACCTCCCGGACCTGCAAAGGGTCAGCGATCCGGAGCCCAGCCGAGGGACCTGAAAGCAGGGGAATGGTCCGTTCTTTTGCTTGATTGCATCGAACGGAGGGTCGAATGATGCTGCATCGACCATTTTCTCCACAGTCTTCGACTCTTAGCTCTGGCCCTGGAAATTAATCGACTGGCCTAGCCCATCGTAGACAACCGGCACAAATTCGGTAGAAATACGGTAGCAGCAGGACAATTCAGTGTCTCAAGATCTCAATGTGATGCGATTCATCTGATTCGGCAAAGCCTCCGGGGGCAAACAATCCGTACTCGTGTTCGGTGGATTCGAATCTCCTATCCCGATTTAGAGAAGAAAATCAGATTAGCTGCGATACATCATCCATATGCACCCAACTTCCCTGATTTACAGCAGATTGAATGGAAGTAAGCCCTGTCCTTATCACACCGAGAAAATTCAGCATGAAAAGGTAGATAGGTTGAAGCTCTTTGTGAAGTACTGCCTACGCCACTAGGGGCCTCACCAGACTTCCGCCGCCTTATACCAGGAGATATTAAGCCCGGGCCGTCAAATTGACCCTTTCTTGACTACAGAAGAGATTGGCTAGGGTGGTTGAGGGGTCACTAGCTCCCTATCTGCTTACTGAACCATTCCCATACACCCTGACACCGTCTCGAAACAGACGTACTCCGTACACTGGTCTTGAAACTGGCCTAGTGATTGGAGATGACCATGTAGACCATAGATTGCGGTTCTCAGAGAGCATGGCTTACCCCAGTCATTGTTCAGACAACAAGAGAGTCAGGATATTGCAGCATACTAGCTGTTGACTTGGAGAAGGCTCATTTGGTAACCGCAGTGTAGCTGTATCAGGGGTGGTTTGGGCTGTCCACAAGGTTCTTACTAGTCAAACGTGTCGAAATACTGACATAAAAGTCTATGTATTTATGTAGAATTGAATTCCGTCTTGATTCTAATGTTGCCATTCTCTCTAGACTCTCTCTTGTGCCTTGCTTTGGTGGCTGAAATATGCTCACTGAGGAAAATCTACGGAGTATACATACCATACTAGCTAGTCTACACCGAGTTACACTTCAGCCTAGTGATAGAAATTAAATCTCTATCCTCATTCCCCATTCTCATGCTAGCTGATGCAACCTGTGTGACGTGCTTATCCAACATTCCGGACCACTGAGACAGGTCAGGACCAATCCTCGTGTACTGAGTGAGCCGATTTCATGTGCAGATCTCCTTACCATGATACCCTTCAGCTGGCCCCTACTGGTGAAAAATGCATGTGTCCTTGTAATATATATGAATGTGTAGACTACTGCCTCCGGTACACAAAAGTTGAGGAGTCGCTTCTTATGACGCGACAATTCCGTAAGGATATTTTTGCAATATCACATTCTGCTGCATCTGTGGGCGTCAGTACCAGCAATCCTTGCAGATAATTGAGGATAGCTAATTCCAGTGTGTGGTGTATATACTGTTAACTGTATATTCTCGTCTTAGGCGCCGTCCTCCATGATCTGCATTAGTTGAATGGAGACCTGTCAGGCCGACGACTCCGCAGACGGCGAACCTCTCGTGGTAGTAGGAGACCTCATACTAGATCAGTATGTCTATGGCTGCGTTCGTCGAAACGCCCCAGAGGCCGACGTACCGGTCGTGGAGCGGGAGAAAACAGACTACTACCCCGGCGGAGCGGCAAATGTTGCGATGAATCATGTCGCACTGGGTACGGCAGTTGTCCTAATCGGAGCTGTGGGAGACGACGCAGATGTACATCGCCTGCTCTCGCTTCTGACCAGCGCCAAGGTCGATGTCTCGGATTTTGAAGTCTAGATCGTGAGAAGCGCCTCTCTCAGGTGGCTTAGCAATGTAGTCTATTGGCTGGACACGATGAACAACTTCATTCGACGAAAAAGTGGCAATGAACATGACAAGTTTGATCAATTCGTTCAAATGCCTATCTAAGAGTAGTCTTGCGCCAGCGTGGAGGATGATACAAGAAAGGGTATAGATCAAGAAAAGGACAGTAGTTGGCAGATAAGCAAGGCAGCTCAAGGATCTCATCAGATAATTCAAAATGATCATTTGGAATCCCACATGATTTCGTTCAATTTCAATAGCGCATCGGCGCTGGCTTTCTTCGCGGCCATAAAATCTTCCCGATTATCGGCTCCGCGAGGTCCTCTGAGAATTTCTGAGAAGCAAAGGTCAATAAGTACCTTGAGCTCATCATACGTGAGCGGTTCGCCATTGCCTGCCGCTAATGCTTTTTCGCCCTGCGCAGCGAACAGCTCCTTTTCATCTTTGGCGTACTCCAATGTCTTTTCCGCTCCATCCAAGAACCAGTCAAGGAATTTGGCACTACGCGGAAGTGCAACGATCATGTCGGGATTCTCCGGTCCCTCTGTTGTGGGATACTGGGCTTTTTCTGCTGTCGGGTCAATAATTATATTCTTGAGGTTCTGCTGTAAAACGAGGACGTCAAGTTGCAGCCGCAAGGCTCCATTCTCATTCATGGCTCCAATGTGACGTGTAGATGAGACGAATGCTTGATCAATAAATCGAGCAAGACCCGAGGTGATGAACCAGTGTTCAGCGGGGCCAAGATATGACGAAATGTTCGTATCAAAGGCGATCAAGTCATTGTTTAGCTCGAGAATCGTGGGAGATGCGGCTGTCGGCTGATTTACAAGGATATGCCACCAATTCATGTTTGAGTTCGGTGATGGTGTGGTGGGTTCCGAATCGCGGTTGCTCGGGGGGTTGGGGCCAGCCATTGTGCGAGTCAACATGTGAATGACGCCGCATCGAATATCAATGTGAAGAGCAAACAGCGCGGTCGAGGCCAGATTACGCAGCGATTGAAGAGTGGTGTCAAACACGTTGGCCGTTTCATGATTCAGCGGCAGGTACACTGGCTGACTTATGCTGTCACGCCTCGATTTCATGGCTCCAATCAGGGTCCACCGACGAGGAGGTGCTCTAGTCTCAGGCTGTGGCTCCCGCGACTCTGAGGCCGTGATTCGGCGCAGCTTGGCAAGGTGGCTTGCAAGCCATTGCTGAAAAAGGGTCAGCCAGGTTTCGAAAGGCAATGGACCATGCTGAGTTTGTGACAAATATTACCATGCTATTGTAGAGAAGCGACAGTGCTACCACTGTTTTGGGATCGGATATAATGTCGTACGGCTCTAATGATACCTCGTCTGTGCGTTTGAGCAGCAGCTCAATTTCCTAGGATAATCAGCGGCTGATCCGACGTTCAAAGACGGGCAGAAGAGGGGAGAGTATCTACCTTATCGATGAGTTCCTTCTTAGCGTCTGCCGGCCCCTCCCAGAGTTCCTGAACTGTATCATGGATATCACCAGATTCGGCAAACTCAGCTGCGGCCTTGAGGCGGACTTGACCGTGATTGCGAGGCGAGACCTTCGTGACAATAGCTGGACAGATATATGAGCCATTGGACTATCAACTTGGAAGGTAGTGGCTCTTCTAACCTTTGTACCATCCACAGCACTTGTCATAGTAGGTCACAATCTGGCTAATTAGAAGTTGTGTGAAGGCCTGATCATGCGGAATGGTGGACAGCATTTTACTAAACTCCCATATGATTGACATGAATTTGACAGTGCCCTGTTGTATTTGAGATTAGGAAAGATCAACATGAACGATAAGACGACGCAGGTACTTGCCTTGAAAACTGGCCGAGGGGAGGATTTTGACCATTGAGGATCTTCCGTGAACGCGTCTGGTGCGATGAAACTAAGAGTACAGAGATCTGTGACTGTCTCATCCAGTTGGGGAAGAAATACGTTGACGAGAAAGTCATCCAAAAAGGACGTCAAAGTGCTCAGAGCAATGTCCGCATCCACAGGTACTATGTCCTTCAATCGTTGTATGAAGAATAACGAAGGCGGAAGAAGAAGACTCATGTTGAACACGCTGGGTTCAATGAGTATCTTATGACCAGTCCCGGAATTCCCTTGCCCGTCTCGTGAGCTGTCTGTCGTCTTGAATTTCTGCCTGGTTTTCGATACTAAACCAGGAACCGACGTCTTGAGGATCTCATCCAACTCGTCTTGTTCCGCTTGCATTTCCGTGTTTTGCTCTGTTTCGGAAAGTTTAAACAATTTCTGTGAAGTGTCAACAAGATTCGACCATGGCTAGACATGTTCTAAGCAGACGCACCTTGTTCCTATCCCTATGACCAGCATGGATTTGACGTTTAGCATCGGCTTCTTCTTCTCTAAATCTGAAGGAGGACTCTCCATCGGTGGCCAGGTAATCGTGCAACAGGGAACGAATCTATTGAAACTGTGAGACAGACTGCATTGAGAAGGCGTAAGCCGAATATAGGGAGACCACTGACCTCACTCTGATAGAGCTTCCACAACTCTTTGAAACCACCTGTGAGTGAACTGTTCTTGGGAATACCCTCGCGCTCCACAATTCCGGCAATGGCATCGTGGAGGACACGGTGACCTTCAGCAATAGCTTCAAATTTGGCATATAGAGTCCATAAGAACTCTGTCAAAACATGTCCGCGTTTCTCAATGGCCTCTGTTGGCAGACTGGTCTTGCTATCCCGGGACGAGAGGCCCCCGCCCAAATTTGGATGACGCGCGTCGACTTCTGCATTTGTCTTATCGACCACTGCAAATAGTTCAACTGGAAGCCGCTGTTCAATGCGGTCAACCGCTATGTCCAAATGGCCCATCTTGTTCAGCGCCTCAATTAGAAGCCGGATATAATAAAACGTGTCAGCCTCCGGGTTTCGAGACGCGTCCTCCACCAGGGGCGCGGTGGCGTCCAGCTTCCCAAGAAAGGCGTAGACAGGTTTTTCCCAGGTTGCTACTCCAGTCCAGCTGGAGGCGTTTGCGGTGCCAACTTCTCCCTCCGGCGCAGGCAGTTTCCACCGATTGGAGCAATAGGGAGATTTGAGGTACAAATGATCATGCAATTCTTCTATCAGGATATCAGTCAGAGATATCTCTTGGTTCGCAAAGTAGGCGCGTATGTCTGCGAGAGCTCCGATATTCTCCAGCTCGGAGCGCCGTAACAGTCGGAAGGCATCGTGAAGCACCTCGACAGCACCAAGAAATCGCTTGTCAGATATTCGGGACTCTAGCTTCTCAGGCAGGGATTGTATCTCCTGGATTTGACTGAAAAGCTGGATTAAGTCATCGTATTTCTGGGAAGATGTCGCTAGACCCTTCAACTCGGGCTTCGTATAGAGTAGTCCAGCTTTGGCGTCCTCCAGCGCATGTTTCAAATTTCGGACTCGATTCTGCGAGCTTTGTATATTGGACTGGATCTTGTGGTATGTACCAATAGAACTGTTAAATCCCTGGTGATGCTCTGATCACTATGCTCAGTAATGGTTTGACAATGATCTGATGGGATGGCAATGACCAACCATTGACGACAGACTTCAAAGTCTTCTGAATCTGCTGGTTCATATTGAGAAAATCAGGCTCGCGGTCTGCTTTGCCCAGTGTACTCGTGTCCATCAACTGCAATGCCACCTGCACCGGTACACAATCGTCGGAGGCCACGAAGCCCCAGTCGCGTTGGATCGCCTGAAGGATATCTGAAAAACGTCAACCGTCCAGCTCCACCATGCAGACAAGTCCCGTTCATTTAAGTAGGTAAAAGAAAAAGGATGAATGGGCCAGCAAACCTTCCATAGCTTGAGACCCGCCGCTACTGCTCACGGGTTTAGCACCCTCAGGGCCACTCCTCTCAACGCTGCTGCTGCTGGCCATCCAGCTAGTCTCCCCCCGTGCTCGACCATCCCGCGAGCCCGGTGGTCTCCTTTCCGAGTCTGTGTCCCGTGTGCGCGATCGCGACGATGAGTTCTGGCGGTCCCCCTCCAATCTCTCTCGGCGCCGCTCTGGCGAGGCCGAAGGTGAAGGCTCTTGCGAGGATTCGTTATAGAAGCCACCATATCCACCCGGACGACGATCTCTCCCCCCTGAATACCCATTGACAGCTAAGTTGCTGTTGCTGCTTCCGTATCCGCCATCACTCCGATCGTATCGATTGCTTTCGGAATACCCGTATCCGTCGGCGTAACCGTTTCTGCCGTTCATACCAGAGGATTTATCCGGGAGATGTAAGAGTGCTGATTTCCGAGAGATGGCGGATCAATAAGGCGACGACAGGAATAGATACGGCGGAGGTGTCAATTGGTCTCTAGATTGTTGGTGCTGTCGCAGGATATCAAACGGTGGGGAAAGCAGGCATGATCGTTCTTAAAGCTGCTAATCGGAAATCTATAAGAGGGGCATGAGATTAAAGTATTCAGAAATGGAAGTTAAGAGGTTATTGTTCAGGCAATCGCAACACAAGCACACGGTTCGCAATGTGATTGTTTGAAGAAGCCCAAGGTCCGGGTCCGCAGCTCACAAGTCGCAACCGCCTGATTTCCCCACACAAGCTTCCCGCCATCGGCAAGCCACGTCTGGGAATGGCTACACACGATATCCTACGTTCATCATTCTAATGACAGACAGGCGTTATGATGTAGCTCTATGTGGTCGCCAGAATGGATTCTAGGATATGTTACTGGATGCTGCTATTTAAAGCCACATGGGCTATATTTTGAGATCAGCCTAGATCTATTTAGTGATGGGTGCAGTCTCTCTCTGAAGCCAGCTTCGAGTGAACTCGTCATTCTCAAAGAAATGACGCGTTTTATCCCAGACCTCTGAGTGATAGTCGTTCACCCACTTGAGCTCGAGGTCGCTGAGCAGGGATGGTTCAATCAAGTTGCGGCCAATGGGAGCCATTGTGACATGTTCAAAGCCCAACCATGGCTTGTCACCGAACTTAT